TCACACAGCTGGTATGTTGAGATCAAGTTAACTGATTGCATATAGTTGTCTTTAATAATTTTATTTGAGTAGAAAGGGCACCAGGAAGTGGATCAAGAATTGTAATTACCCTTTTCTAGGTGCTTAAGGCCAGAGGAAACTGTGTACAAAGGGTAAGCTGTCATTAAAACCTGAACACTTACCTATTGGCAATGACCTTGAGGATAGATGGAGGAGGGGCTCCTGGGTGGCTCAGTGGGTTAAGCGTCTGACTTCTCCTAGGCTCGTGATCTCAGGGTCCTGGGATTGAGCCCTGTGTCAGGACCTCTGCTCAACAGGGAGCCTGCTTCTCCCTCTGCCTCTCTCCCTGCTTGTGCTCTTGCTCTCTCTCTCGAAAAAAAAAAGTAAAATCTTAAAAAAAAAGGGGGGGGTGGTGTGTGTGACTAGGGCAGAGGCTTTCCAATACCTTTGATGCAACCAAAGTCAGACATGCACACCCACTCATAATCATACACACAGTCATACAAAGGACACACACACATACACATACGTAAATACATAACTGAAATAAAACTTTCATTCAGCAATGCTTATTGTTACTATGTGTGAGGCATACTAATATTTTCATTCCTTTTTCTTCTCCTTTCTCCTTCCAGTATTGTTTTGCGTATAGCTGGCAAACAATGTTGCATGAGTTTCATGTGTACAATAGTGGTTCAACCACTCTGTTCACTATGCTGGGCTCACCCTCGGTCACCATGCAACACCATCACAGCACCATTGACTCTGTTCCCCAGGCTGTAACTTTTATCCCTGTGACAAAGTCCTCCCATAATTGGAAGCCTGTGTCTCCCACTCCCCTTCATCTATTTTTTCCCATCTCCCCCTCCCCCAGTTGCCTCCCCTCTGGCAACGTCAGTTTGTTCTCTGTGTCTATGTGTCTGATCTTCTTCTTCCTTGTGTATTCATTTGTTTTGTTTTAGATTCCCCATAATGAGTGAAATCCTGTGGTATTTATCTCTGTCTGACTTATTTCACTTAGCATTACACCATCTAGGCCTATGTATGTTGTTGCAAGTGACAAGATTTCATTCTTTTTATGGCTGCATAATATTCCTTTGTGTGTGTGTGTGTGTGTGTGTGTGTGTGTGTGTGTGTATGTGTGTACCACATCTTCTTTATCTATTCATCTGCCAGTGGACACTTAAGTTGCTTCCATATCTTAGCTATTGTAGATAATGCTGCAATAAACAGGGGTGCATAGATCTTTTCAGATTAGTGTTTTTGTTTTCTTTGGGTAAATACCCCATAGTGGAATTACCAGATCATAAGGGTACTTCTATTTTTTTTAAGATTTTATGTATTTTTTGAGAGAGAGAGAAAAAACACAAGTAGGGGGAGTGGAAGACGGAGAGGGAGAAGCAGGGAGCCTGGGATCATGACCTGAGCCCCAGGCAGACGCTTAACCAACTGAGCCACCTAGGCACCCTGATACATCTATTTTTAAATTTTTAAGGAAACTCCATTCTGTTTTACTTTCTTACACTATATACAAAAATGAACTCAAAATGGATGAAAGACCTAAATGTGAGACCTGAAGTCATGAAACTCCTAGAAGAGAACACAGGAAGCAATTTTTTTGACATCAGCTATAGCAACATTTTTCCAGTTATGTCTCCTAAGGCAAGGGAAACAAAAGCAAGAATAAACTGTTGGGACTACATCACAATAAAAAACTTCTGTATAGCAAAGGAAACTATAGACGAAACAAAAAGCCTACTGAATGGGAGAAGATATTTGCAAAGATATATTCAATAAGGGGTTAATATCCAAAATACATAATTTATACAACTTAATGTAAAAAAAACCCACACATAATCTGTCCATAAAAATGGACAGAGGACCTGAATAGACATTTTTCCAAAAAAGACATACAGATGGCCAACAGACACATGAAAAGACACTCAACATCATGAACCATCAGAGAAAATGATGAGATCTCATCGTACACATGTCACAATGGCTAGAATCAAAGACGAAATATCACAAGTGTTGGTGAGGCTGTGAAGAAAGAGGAGCCCTTGTACATTCTTGGTGGGAATGTAAATTAGTGCAAGCCTGGTAAAGAGTATGGAGGTTCCTCAAAACATTAAAAATATCTACATCCATATTTTCAGTGCTGGCTGGGACACAATGACTTCACTACACACTCATAGGTTCTGATCTGCAGTTTGAAAACCACTGAGCTAGAAGGTGGTAAAGGTGATAGAAGGCGCACAGACTTGATTCACACAGCAGTGGGGCTTGAGTCCCAGGCTGCTGTTACATTAACTGTGTGGGCTAAAGCAAGTGACCTCTTCTTTGAACTTGAGTTTCTCATCCACAAAATGGGGACAATAATACCTACCTCAAAGGGTTATTGAGAATGGCAAGTGGTGAACATAGGCACCTACCCTCATACCTAGTATTTCACAGAAGTATGATGATAGCAGTGTGATGAGGCATTCAAGAGTGAAGAGTGCCAGGACGTTTGAGTGGCTCAGTCGGTCAAGTGTCTGATTCTTGATCTCAGCTCAGGTCTGGATCTCAGGGTCATGAGTTCACCCCCTGCTTTGGGCTCCAGGATGGATGTAGAGCGTACCTTAAAAAAATAAAAAATAAAAATGGAGTTCTGGCCCTGGCACTAACCAGCTGTTTGAGCTTAGTTAGGCAATGTCTCTAAACTTCTAAATCATGTCATCCCTCTAAGCAGCACCTATTCACCTGTAAAAAATTGGAGAAATAGTAACACTTGCCTCATACGATTTGTTCAAGAATTAGGTATAATAATACATGTAAAGCCCTTACCATAATCCCTGGTGCTTAGGGAATGCTCAATAAATTATTGGCTGTATTAGCTGGTCAACAAATAGATCTATTATTGTCCTCAATTCCTCTAGACTAGGTTACAAGATTATTTTGATGAGACAAACTCAGGAGTGTGTGTGTGTGTGTGTGTGTGTGTGTGTGTGTGTGTGACAAAACTGCTGTTTACTTGCTCATCAGTATTCTCTAGAGGCCAAATCAAACTTGGCTGCAGCAAAGGAAGTCATTTTTGTAAAGAAAGGTTAGATCCAAATTGGATTCCTTCTCCTTGTTCTCCTTTGAAAGTATTTCCACAAAATCCAATCTTTGGCTTGACATTAAAGGCCTATTTTCAGTTTGAGTAGACTTTTACCAAAAAAATAAATAAAGGGGGGAAAAACATGACTCTACACACCAAGTAGTGGGGAGTGAGTTTAACTTTTTTGAATGCAGCTAAAGAATGTTATTGCATGGTCTCCTGCCTAAAGCCTTCCTTTTTCCTCACTTGTGTGAGGCGGCCTTTAAGATGGCCTCTAATGATGAAAATCTCATGATATTCATGCTCTGTGTAAACACTCCTCTTGCTGAGTGTAGGCTGTACTGACTCACTGCTAACTAAGAGGATAAGGTAGAAATCACAATGTATGACTCAGAATAGGTCATAAAGGCAGTACAGCATTGCCTTTCTCTTCTGGATCCCTTGCTCTAGGAGAAGCCAATTGCCATGTTGTGGTAGCCCCATGGAGAGGCCCATGTGATGAGGAAGAAAAGCCCTCCTGTCAATAGTCACAGAGGTGAGACTGGAAGCCCCTTCAAATGACCACAGCATGGCCAGTAGTTTGACTATGACTTTACCAGAGGCCCTGAGCCCCAAAGACCCAGCAAAGCTGTTCCTGGCTTCAAGACTCTCAGAAACTGTGAGACGGTTAACTATTGTTTCAGGCTGCTAAGTTTTGGGGAATTGGGTAGGTAGGAATAGATCATGAATACACCGCCCTTGAATCTTGCTTCCCACAGCGTCTCAGTGTCTGGTCAGTTAGTTCATTATTCATTCATTCATTCTCTCATTCATTCCGTGAAGGTTTATGAACTACTTGCTATGTGTCAGACAGTGTCACTACCTTCAGATCCTTACTTTCAGGAGGCTACAGTCTCGTGGAAATACTATGGGCAGACTAACAGTGAAAATGCTGGATGCATGTGAAATGCCACCATGTGGTTTTGCTAGAGGGCTTTCGGGACTCAGAGGAGGGAATGAGAACTTCCAGCTTGGCCAGAAGAAAGGGGGTTATAGGTAGGAGATGGCACTTGACCTAAGCCTTGATACCAAGGTGTGAGGGTTTTTTCATGTGTTAACTTGGCTAGGCTGACCTATATTCCCCAGAATTCCCATTCTTCTGTGTTTCTGTTTAGGGTGAGGCACAAGGGAGATTTTCCCTGATGGCAGAAGGGAAGCAGCAGCCGTTTTGTAGTGCACACACGTCATTGCTGATCCGCTAACTTAGCTTGTTGGTGTGAAGCAGCAGCCAAGCCTGTGATCGCTCTACTTTGCCCTGCATTCTCCTTTAGCTTTTCTGACTTCTGGGGCAGACATGTACTAAGCTTAGCTCTGTGATAAAGGGCTTTGGCTTCTGAGGAATACTCTCCTCACCAAGGTGAGAGGCAAGAACAGACAAGGTTTTGATCGTTCCTTGTGCCTGGGCCGCCAGCCTTCCCGATGGCCAGCCACATGGATTTAAGCTCCAGTCTCAGATGACAGCCTTCTAGGGAATGCCTCACCAATCCCCACAGTTGTGGAAGCTAGTTCCCTGTACTAACCTGAGGTACAAGGTGAATCGGTGAAAAGAGATCATTCAAGGCAGAAAGAACTACGTGAACAAAAGCAAGGAGGGGAAAATGTAGGTCTACTAGAGTTCTTAACCACTGGCACACCCTTGGTACTGACTCATCAGAATAAATGCTGGTCCCAGCACAGACCAGCCAGAAGAAACAGTGGCACAAGCACCAGCCAATCAGAACAGATGCTGGCTGTGGTGCCCAGCAGGGTCTTTAAGGGTTCTGACTCTTCCCCTTTAGTTACTGAATTATGGAGACTAAGGAGATGTCTGAGTGGATTTTGAGGTGGTTAAAAGCATTTGGGCCATCAAAGATGTGACTATTTCCCAATTGGAAGAAAAATGTTCTCTATTTTAATAACTTGTGCTCTTTCCCCACGGGGGCCCAGTGTACAATGGCTGCAAACAGTAGCTTCCTTGACAGTATATGCAGCCTGCTGATTGAATGGGTTGTCCCAAGGAACCTTGGAGATAGCCTTTCCAGACATTGATGTTGGACCCCATACTCCAGGCTAGTCTCCAAACAGGTATGTGGGGTGCCTTTGGAAAGCCCTAGGGTGCAGTGGCCAGGGTCCATGTTGGCCAAGTCATCATGTCCTTCTGTACCCACTTGCAGAACAAGGGGCATGTGATTGAGGCTCTCAGCAGGGCCAAGTTCAAGTTCCCTGATTGCCAAAAGATCCACATTTCCAAGAAGTGGGGCTTTCCTAAATTTAATGTGGATGAATTTGGAGACAAGGTGGCTGGAAGATGGCTTATCCCCAATGGCTGGGGGTCAAATGTATCCTGAGTCATGACCTTCTGGACAAATGGCAGGCTCTGCACTCATGGGAACATTAACACTACTCCCTTCTTATTCATACCCACCGATAAATCCTACTTCCTGTCAAAATTTTTTTTAACAACTTGTACTGTCATATTGATGCATTCCAGCTGACTTCCAGCTCTCAAGGAAATAATGCCAGGGGAAGGTGATGAAGAGCAAATTGTTGAGTGTGACTGGAACATTGGCTGACTTTGTGGTCATAGTTTTAAACCCAGTTACTCAAGTCAGTGAAATTGATTTAACCTGTTGTGTCTGGTGTGACTATAGTCAAAATAGCTATTAAAATGGTTCCATGGAGGAATGCAACTTAATCCAATCATAGGAGACCAGGACCCCATCCCTTTACTGAATGAAGGATCAGAAAACAGGAATTTTAGCCTCTGCTCTGCTGCTGACACACTGTGATCTGGCAAGTGACTTAGCACAACTCCTCCTGAACCAGAAAGTGGTGACTTGACTTGGGCTTTTCTCTCTGCAGTTTTCTGGAGACCTGGAATGCTTGCTTGTCCATTCCTTAAAACTATACCCACTAGTCCCTTCAATTCTGGAGTCAAGACAAAAAGCTTGCTTTGTATTTCCCTGCCTAACCACATCATTTTTTTTCTGGCAATTCCTTGGTATGAGTTGACCCATTATTGCCTTTTTCTCTCTAGATAGGCTCACCAGTGTTAAGTTTATATCCCTCCTTTTGAGAGACTTGATCGCTCAGCAAATTATTTACCAGGTACTCCTTTCATACTTCATAAGGTCCCCTGGCACTCAGAAATCTGTATACAGCAGGTGCCCATTAAATACTTAAATGTTCCTGTGTCATTTTGGTAAATTCTCTGGTTCCAAAGGAAAGTCAAGCAGGACATTCTAAACTAAAATATTTCGGGGTTTTGAGTTGCATATAGCTTTGTATTGTCCCTGCCTCCCTTCCACTAGCATGAGTAATTAAGAATAGAGTTGGACCCCTGTGTGTGCATGCCGATAATAGTATTTGTGCGCATATAGTAACGGTGTATAAATTAACTTCTTTTGCTTCAAATGAAAAGGCAGCCTTGTTCAATGATTAAGAATGAATGCAAAGATCATTTCAGCATCTTCAGAGCCATTAATTGGGTTGGGCATAATTTGTCACATTGGAAGACCATCTTCACTAAGAAACACGTCACTATCAACTCACTGTCCTTCTGGAAAATGAGATACAGGTTAAACATTTTATAGGGATAAGTAAACACAGGAAAATATGGGACTGTGGTTAAAAAGAAATTCCTAAAACAAAGTAGGTCTGCCAACTAATAAAATGGTGGTGTCTCCGTGTGATTCCTGAGAATTTGGAATGTTGAATACAAATTCTCTGCTCTCAAGCAATTGAATTAGTAGAAGAAAATACCAAGAAAAGCTGAACAGAAAGGACCATAAACAAAAATCTTGAGGCTTTTGAACTATCATGAGGCAACTTTTTCTTCTTAAGCCTGGAAAATTTCCCCCCAAAATGTTGAGGTAGGTTTCTGATCATTTTTACTTACCTGGTGTTCGTATTTAGCAAATATATATTTAATTGAATTTGATTATGCTTGCTGAAGCCATGGGTGAAAAAAATTAACATCTACACTTAGCATGACCTTGTGAAGCACAGAAAGCAGAACAGAATAAGAATTCTTCCTCTTGATTCTCTTTCCCTGGAATAAATCCTATGTTTTTCCACTGTTATTAAACCATTTTTCAATAATAGTTCATCTGCCAGCGTTAGCATGAATAAATTTCTCCTCTCAGTATAGGAAGCAATTCACCACTTTCTTTATCTTTCTTAAGCACATCCAATCCTTCAAGTTCACTTGTCCACTTACACATGCAACTAGGTGTATATAGCTCCTAATTCTTAGCAAACTTTGCTTTCCCCAGTACAAAAAATGTCTCCACCTACCCCAGTAGATTTTGTTAGGTTTGGTCTTCTAAGTCCGTATTTTGCCTCTTGTAGATTTCCTTTCATAATAAGCAATACAGAAGCTTTAATCATTAGCATTCTGAATCGGGCCTCAAACATGGGGATCGCTCTAGTGCTATTTCTGTTTAGCTCATGCCATGCTTGTAGTTCTTTACGTCAAGCTTCCCTATTTGTGCTGAGGATAAGGGAGTCCGTTGGAAAAGGTTTTGAACCCTTGGCAGATTTTATCATAAAATACACCAAAATGCTATAATCTGTATGCAATCTTCATTAAGAATTCTACCACCTGCTTGCTGAAGCCACAGCACAGCTCCACTCATAATCACCATGCAGGGGGCAGCATTAGTTAACGTCATTAGACAAATGTTGAGATCTTCTTTTTCATGTTCATTAGCACCAGGTGGGAAGAAACTGCTAGATCCAGGCATGGGACTTTGGGGGCTAAGTTAGGCTTATGCATTATTTAATCAGCCAACTTTCTGAGCATCTGCAAAAAAACAAAAAGGCTAGAATAGCAGTGATTTTCTGTTTTTTTTTTTGTTTTTTTTTTTCCAGATATGTTAGGGGCAGTGTCAATTTTCAACTTCAGTAAGGAGAGGGTGATCTATAGAAGCTGTGTGGCATTGAGCAAATCACTTAACTTCTCTGTGGCTCTTCCTAAGTGCCAGTCGCTGTGCTAAGCTCTTCACATTTTCTCACGTAAACCTCAAAACAAGTCTAAAAGGAGAGATGCTACCGTAATTTCCATTTTATAGATGAGGACATTGCATTTTGGAGAAGTTAATTTGTTTATGCAATTAAGCTCCACAGCCTCTAAGAAGTGGATGGTTTTCTCATACGTCATATTAACTTTGCGTTATGGGTTAGAGTCACCTTAAGACTGTTTATGATAAGAACTTTGAGAGCTGAAAGGACCTTTACACTTGATGTAATCCACATGAAGGAGTTAAAGCTCAGAGAAGTCAAAGACTTCACCCAAGGTCACACAGCCCATTGTGACCAGCTGGGACCCGGGACTTTTGCAGTGATCCCTGCTCCTACAATGCACTGCTTTTTATCTTCATGTTATTTTACATAATTAATAGATCTCTTCAAGCATGCAAATACTTAAAAGTATGCATTCCTCTCAGGGCATGAGTTTCTTCAGCCCAGAGATCATATACTTAAATGGAAAATTAATTAAAGGGAGAAAAGAAATACTTGGGAGGTGTTTTTTATTTAATTTAAAATTAAACACAATTGCTTTAAGTGAGCAACATCTTAAAAGATGGTATTAAAGTCATACCCCAGAAACCACAAATATGATAATAAGAGGTTTACAGAGCTTGTTTTACTAGACATTCTTCAGTCCCATGTTTCTTTCCTGTGTTTTTAACCAGCAGGGGACTGAAGGAATTAAGTACAGTATTCTTTCAGCTTCTTTAAGACTTTTCCTGCTTTAAACCTGAATTCCTTATGGCAGAAAAGAAAAGGGAATTCCCCGTTCCTGGATCCACCCGCCCCACCCTCTCACACTGCATGGTTAGACACACACACACACACACACACGCACACACACACACACTCCTCTCCGAACTAAATCTCCTTTTTTTATCTCTTCTTTCTCACAGCCTCCACACTTTCCCCAAAATCCCTTCCCCCAAAACCTAAATCTCAACATTTGGCTCAGTGACATTGTCTCAAGATCAAAGTCAAAAGATAATTTCCATGAAAATCAAAGTAACGTCAGTCTCCTCAGTCCCGCTCTCTCGCTCCTTGGAAAGCCTGGGTCTCCAGCCTGTGAAAAATGAAAAATTCCACACTTGCCCTCTCCTCAGGATGAAACTCTCTGCTCCCTCTTCCTTTTTTCAGGTGTCTCTTCACTTCAAGCATATTTCTGCTTTTCTGTAGAAATGGAGATAGAAACTTGCAGCGTCAAATTCAAGACCGACTGGCGCCTGAGTGGCTTGGTAGTTAAGTGGCTGCCTTCAGCTCAGGTCATGATCCCAGTATCCTGGGATCGAGCCCCACATCAGGCTCCTTGCTCAGCGGGAGGCCTGCGTCTCCCTCTCCCACTCCCCCTGTTTGTGTTCCCTCTCTCTCTCTCTCTCTGTCAAATAAATAAAATCTTAAAAAAAAAAAAAAAAGACAAATTCAAGACCGACCTACTGTTAGTGTCTCTCTCTTCCTGGGATCAGCAATGTCTGTGAGGCTTGAGGTGAAGCTGGGACAAGAAGGAGGTTGGAACAGAAAGAGAGGGACAGGAGATGTAGTGGGGGGTGGTAGGAAAGTCCTATTTAGTGACTTCCTGTATGTCAGGTATCGCCGTACAGTAAGAAACCTGTTCTTACGTTACAAGTGAATGGCCTCAAGTTCGCAAAAACTTGAAAATTTTCAAGGTCACAGTTTGTAAATGGTCTGGTTAAAATACTAACCCAAGGCTGTCTGACCTCAGAGTCCAAATTTTGTGTGAGGATGTGAGTCAGTCATTTTGTGTGAGGACATCTTCCCCAGACAAGTATGGGGAAGAGCGGTAGGGGCTCTATGCAATGCCAGGATCCCGCCCTTATACACCTTCATACATCTTTATGATGAATTATCCACCTGACCTTGTTTAGCACAAATGATGGGCCAAAAGCAACTGGGAGCTAGACTGTGGACAAGTACTCTGCTCCCTGTCATTGCCCCACCCTCTCTCCGTGCACAATCATATGTATGCCCAGGTAGCTCCTTTATGGC